TAGACCAGGTAGATCGTTGTTTATATCCGAAAGTGTAACTTTACTTGTCGACAACCTATATGCCGAAGCAATAGAGTCAGCAAAGTCGCGTGCCCCTTTATAGGCTTCTACCCGCGAATTAATTTCTAGCTTAGGTGATATTAACTCAGAGGCGAGGTTTTGAAACCGCTCCCTATCTATAAATTTTTCAATGGCTTTCGAAAGATTCCTAATTTTAACGTGATCCAGTATGTGGAATACTATTGGTAAGTGATCTGAATCCAAAGTATCAGAGACGATGACATCAGACACTCTAATATTTGGTGAACCGCAAAATCTAATACCTCACCATTTCCCGCAGGGGAATAATCAGTGGGGCACTGTGGCGATGAGATTTCGAAATCACTCTTATCAAATAAATCAACGAGTTTCAAGCCTGAGGGGTTTGAATCTCTGTTATTGCAGAATGGGTGTTTAGCATTCAGATCACCTGCCAAAATAGTCACGTCTAAACTTAAGAGCCCAGTTATGTCACTATCACTCAAGGCTTTCCCTGGACATTTATAATCAGCTGCAAGCAATAAATCACTTTTGCCGATTGGTATGCAGTCCCCTGTCGCTTCTACTGAATCAAGGGGTGGTAGGTCTACATGGTTATGGGAAATGCCTTTTCTAACTGCAACGGCAGTTCCTCCTTTTCTGCCCGAGTGGCGGTCGATTCTATAAAAGTGGTAATTTGGAATAAAGAACCTCTCATGAGTTTTCAGATATGTCTCTGAAAACAGGGCCACATCTACGTATAGGTCTTTCAGCTGTTTACTGAGCTCATAGCGCTGCCTCCCAATGCCGTTCGCATTAAATGCTATGACTTTGAAGGGCCTATGAAATCTAGTGGCCATTTTGTTTCATACGGTTTATAACAATTTCGGTAATGGCCATTATTTTGTCCTCCTCGGACACTGCAACACTGGCCTCTGTCATAATCTGCTGTACTACAGTCACTACTCTCAAAATATTGTCGAGACGCTGACCGTTTACATGAGTAGCCTGAACTGACTGACCTGTTTCTTTCTACAGTGCAGGGGCCGGTACAATCTGCTTCTTCGTTGTGGCTGGAGCCACCGGAACATGGTTACCCTGAGGGCGCTGTTGCTGCTCTGCTGTACTGCCTCGGAGTGCCAACGCTAAGGAGACACCTGGAGTGACGATGGCCGAAGAGAACACTCTCCCTGTGGTAGTTTTGGACGTTCTCTGAGCCTTCCTTTTCTGTTGCTCCTCCTTGGAATGCTTGCAACCACGTTAATTGGCAGGATGTGGCTTTTCTCCTTCCGCCAATCGGCAGTAGCAGCATACTGGGGTGGAGACAGTGTTCTCCTTTTCTGGGCACACATTGTGTAAATGGCCAGGGATCCAGCGTGTAAAGCGGCAGTCAATTGGGTCACCAAATCAATCAGATGAATGACCCGAAAAGGGGCACTTGAACGGTGGGAATCAAAAATAGGTAATGTTGAAGTCACGCCTCAGGTTAAAATTATTCAAAAATGAAATTTTGAATCTCCAGGAAGAACATGTTGAAGAAAGAGGCCTCATCAACGCAAGCCAGTTTGGTTTTCGTGCTCGTCACAAAACGACATTGCAATGTATGAGGCTGGCGGACCAGGTGACCTTAATTTCAACAATAAAATGTCTACGGCGGCGGTGTTCTTGGACATCGTAAAAGCCTTTGATACCATGTGGCACTCAGGATTGCTGTATAAGTTATCAAAATTGGAATTCTCGATACAGTTTGACCAAACTTATTGGGCCCTTCTTTCTAGACGTAAATTCAGGGTCTAGGTTGAAGGCGAAGTGTCAACGCTAAGAGAAATGCAAGCAGGGTAACCACAAGATTCTGTGCTTTCCTCTACGCTTTACAATTTGTAATTAAATGATGCCCCCCAAACACATGGTGTTCACCTGGCCCCCCTTGCGGAAGAAACCTGTCTATATGCGATAGATCGCAAGGAGGCTTTTACTGTTAGAAAACTACAGCGCGGTCTCAACTCAATGGAGACCTGGTGTGAGCCCTGCAATATAAAAATTAATGAAGATAAAATCGGGGGCTCTAATTCTCTCGTGGTCGACGACCGCCTGAGTCTTGTCTTACTCTAAATGGAAGAAATATTCCATTTGTAAATAGTGCAAAATATCTAGGAGTAATCTTCGATAAGAGAATGACTTGAAGATTATACATAAAATGATCGAAGCCAAGGCCTTCAGAATATTCATTAGTGTATATTACCTATTCAAAAATGAGCGATTGAGCGCTAACATTAAACTGACCCTCCATAAAGCTCTTATTAGATACGTAATGACTTATGCTAATCCCGCCTTGGAGTTTGAGGCAGACACCCATCTAGTGAAATTGCAGCGCCTGCAAAACAAGCTTCACGGCACGACTGGCACTTTTCCAAGGCGCACACCGGTCCGCGATTTGCACATGGCACTCAAAATCCCGTACGTATATGACTTTATAAGAAAATTATGCAGGCAACAAGCATAAATCATACAAAATCATGAGAATGAGAATGTTCGCAACATCGGACAGGGCGAAGCCCTCCACAGAAAGTATAAGAGGCTGAAACTTAGCGGCGGTCAGGCATGCGATCGTTCAAGTGACTAGACTGCCGTGATTGAGTGCTGTCTGTTAGACCGGCAAAACCGGGATTTAGTATGTGGGATTTTCGCACAATATGTTATTAATTTTGCCATATATCCTGTGCAGAACTGTAATAGGAATCATATCAAATTTCTGACTTTCTGTAAGATATTAATTTTGCCACATAATCCTGTCCAGTATTGTAGTGGTATATAACTTTCAGATTTCCAGTATTCTATAAGATATGTTATTAATTTTGCTATATAATCTGGTCCAGAACTGAAGTAGAAGGTGAATACAAGGCTTCCATTATTGTGTAATATACAGAGTTACTATAAATGACTCATTCGTTTATAAAACGCTATATTTTCCAAAGCGTTATACCCACAAATATGACTGATATCAAAAGACCCGAAACTCACCAAGTCTTCTTCTCACTCTACAAATGTCCTATGTGTGCCCCTAGGGCCACATGATACACATCCAGGCAGTAGTCCATCTCGTTCCACTCATTTTGTAGCATCATCCTGTCAATGTTCATCACTGCAGCATCGATGCGTTCCCTCAGCTCTAGTAGTGATCTTGGTAGTGAGGGTACATAAACACGATCCTTAATGTACCCCCAAAGGAAGAAGTCAAAAGGCCTTAGATCAGGTGATCTGGGGGGCCAAGTGAAGAGAGTTACGTCATCCTCACAAACACTCCCAATCTTGCGATGCCGAAGTTCATTATTTAAGCAGCAACGAACATTGATATTCCAATGAGGGTGTTCACCGTCTTGTTGGAAGACAAAATCCCCGGAGTCAGCAGCCTGTTGTGGAAACAACCATAACTGCAAAATATCTAGGTTAAATGTACCAGTCACATTTTTCTCACAAAAGAAAAGCCGCCAATTCAGCTTTGTCTGTGCCATTACACAGAATAATTCAGCTTTGGAGAATCTACTCCAAGTACTACAATTTCACGAGGATTTTCAGTGCCCCACGATCTCACATTGTGACGATTAACCTTCCCGGATAAATGGAATGTTGCTTCATCGCTGAATATCAACTTGGTGGCACGTTGCGCTGCTATAGCAGACGCACATCTCGAATATTCCAACAAACAAAAACTCTTTCCTTGCTTTGTCGCCATTTTGTAAATGCACTGAACTGCTGCCAACTGGTTGCATACAGTACAAACTTGGCAAGTTTACGGTCCTTTTTATATATTAATCATATTTTTAAGTATAATATTGTGGATTATATAGCGTTTTAGAAACGAATGAATCATTTATAGTAAATGTGTATATTAATTGGCCATAAAATTCTCTGCATTACTGAAATGAAAGATTAATATAAGATTTCCAGTATTCTGTATGATATGTTGTAATTTAGCCATATAATCCTGTCCAGTACTGAACGTCATTCTAATGAAATTAATATTAAATGGAAACATCGGTATTAATGCTTGCCATATGATTTATAATGGTTTAATGTAACCAAAAATTATGTTGTGTGTAGCTTTCAAGTATAAGTTGTTACCGAAAGTTTGAGGTTAAATAGAAGTATGTCTGATGAAAAGAGAACTTTCTTTCAAGTTCCCCACCTTCAGCTTTCCTAAAGACTAGTATTCTATGTATGTATAGTTCACAATGTCCCAAGAATATGCGCAAGTTGTTGTTGGATTGGTATGAATGAAATGTTATGACTTTACATGCACTGGTAGGAAACTTTCTGATTATGCAACCCTCACCCATTGTATGTGTTTTGTTTTTTTTAACTGGGTTCAATATCACAACACTAGTGTCCTTTGGAACGGATATGACTGAAATGATACTGAACCCAATTCAGAAACAGAAAAAAAAAAGAACGGACTAAAATATCTGCAGCACAAGAGGTATCGTTGCAAAATTATTCATTGCTATTCATGTGAACTGGCGGATCCGACGGCAAAAGAGGGGCGGATGGTATGGTAGCATTCTATTTTATTGATCATGTTGTTGGTGCTGGTGGCCATTTCTCATTTAGTTAGGCGACTTCTGCGTAGAGATGGCATGAGTAATGCTACGAGACATCACCGCGATTACATTGCCCACCATTAACGAAGAGTTCCCGGACGTGATGGCAACTTTGGCATCTAGGAAGAAATATGTAAGTTGTGGACATTCTTCAAGGAATCATAAGATCATTCGAAAGAAATTAGATTTCTTCATATTTTGATAAATTGCTAGGAGCTAACACAATTGTGGTTCGTGATATTCCGCTGTTGCAATTTCTGCTAGAGATTCTTTTGAACTCAGCGCCCATTATAGATTTTTCTACGAGGATGAATATTATTACTGTGTTTATACTCTTTCTCGCTTGTTACACATAGCAGTCTCACTAAAAAAAAGGTAATGAGAACTGATGGACTGTGGTGAAAAGGTTGAATTTGCGTTGTTTAGAAATGCGTAGTGAAAACTGTTTTGCAGTTCCGAGATATAAATCTGTAGATTATGTTTACCGTTTGTAGGATGTAACTCTGTGCAGTCCGGTAGCCACTTAACGACGTTTGGAAGCAAGAGGTTTCCTCAAAATGTGTGAACGAACTGTCCTCAAAACTTGAGCAACAGTCCCTCAGATTGCACAATGGTCAATAAGAGACCAAGCTTTATAGTCTCTGTTGTGAGAACAAAGAAATCCACAATAATGTGTGTTTGTACACAATCATTAGTATGTTTTCTTACAAACTCGGACAAATATTTGCGTCTAGGTACAGGTACACTTGTTAGAAATTTTGATGCTGTATCACTAGGACTCTTGTAAATCAATTTATATGGAACCTACAAAACATCATGTGTGATAAAAAGAAATTTCCATGTTATGAAAGATTCTGCATTCTCTTGCAACAGGAATGGTAATAATTCTGGCAAAGAGAGCTGAACAGATATTTCCTGCTGTGAGAGAGAGAATGGTGAGTGTTTTGTGCTTGTGTACACAGAAGAATTTTATTCTGATATATTGGGTCTCTGGACTTCATCCATCGTCCTGGTTTTTAAGATAACAACGGACCCAACAGAATAGGTGTTTCCCTTTTCCTTCACCTGAGGACGGAAACAGATCCAGTTTCCGAAACGTCGTGTTTTTATTTGTTATCTTAAAAACCAGGACGATGGATAAAGTCCAGAAACCCAATATATCAGTGTGTTATACACCATCGTCATAATCCTATAGTAATTTTATTGTCATCTGTCAGTTCTCATACCCTGAAAAACTAAACATTTTATGCGAAGCTTTGTTAGTTTTCCTACTTCATCTGGGGTGTTTACTTGGTACTTCACATTATAACAGTTTGCTGTATTATGTGGGAGAGGGATCAATTCAAGGAGTGTGTTAATGGGTAGGTTATATAGTGCTCATGTGGAAATGAGAAGTGTGTACAAAGATTGGGACAGAAGACCTGATAGAATGAGATCACTTGGGAAATATTTTTGCAGATGGATTTTAAAAATATAATTTTGGGGGGGTTGGACTGGGTTTGTTTCTGTCCGGATGCAAAGTCATGAGGGGCATGTGTGAACACAGTAATAAGCCCTCAGGTACCATAAAGTGCAGATATTTTGAGTACTTCCAGAGGGACCATAAGTTTCTCAGGAAGGTTCCTGCATTATGAACTTAAACATTTTCAAAGATTTTAATTCTGTAGAGAAGAAAACTGTACAGAGCAGGTGTTATGGGTTAGATGTAATGAAAACCTGCTACAATAAGTGAGCATACATTGTTTCATGTATAATGTTGTACAGCCATTACTGATAAAAGATATGATGGTTTTACAGAACTGTACAAATTCAGAGAATGTTTTAGTGGGTCCATGTGGTGAGACATACCCAGCAAGTCATGATGCAAACCAGCCCATGAATATAAAAGCTGAGGAAGTCACAGACTCAGAAGAGGAAGTGGATCCTTTGAAAATAACAGTTCAGGAAATAAAGGCTGAACCTGAGGTGAGCTGAATGTTTCTGTATGTCCACTGTTAGGCAGATATCACAAATATGCAGAAATGCCAGTTATCTTTCTCATCTCCATCTGTCTGTCTGTCTGTCTGTCTGTGCACATGAATCAACTCCACTGTGCTGCTGACTGGCCTTTGAAGACTTTTTTCTGAAGTGTCTTTAGACAGTTATAGTTTTAATCTTCAAGTAATGTATCCTGTTGTGTTATTTTACACATTGTTTTGTTTTCTGTCTCAACACAACAACTATCAGAATCTCATTCTCCTCTTACTGTGTATAATGAGGTTACTGGTCTTAATAGTATGGCAATGTGCTGCGTTTTCAGTTTATGAAGCCGTCATCAGGGAGTATACATTAATTATTTTCAGACTATTGAAATGTGCTTTATATGAATTCATATATAATGACTATTACAAATGTACATGATTTTCAATTTAGTTAATGCATTCAATATTCATTGCGTTATAAGATTCATGATGGGAAGTCATAATGTTTTCATTATCACCATGAGGAAGTCTTAATTCTAAAATATAGTTCTATATAGGATATTTCCTGAGTTTGCTGAACAGTCAAATTTTCCCCTGCCAAGTGGACAGAGGGAGCCACTGGAAAAGGCAGACGCAAGGCAACATCAGTTGAGGAAGTGGAGGCTTGTGCTGGGATACATTTCCTGCATTAGCGAGGGAAGTCTGCCAGGGAGACCCACGACCAGATGACCGCTCTGTATCAGGAAGGTGTGCCATCATGTAACTCAGTGGTCAGGTGGAAGAGGCGCTTTCATTGTGGACAGACAAACGTTGAAGATGAACCCCAAAGTGAAAGATCATCTCTAGCTAAAGAACCGGAAATTGTGGCACAGGTGGAAGCTTTGATCCTATCCAATTAGTCATGTGTCGGTTTTCAGCATTATCCATGATGAATTACACATGACAAAGGTTGCTATGCGTTGGGTGCCACAATTGTTGACACCAGTTCCAAAACAGCGACGGATGTGGCAAAGAAACTTTTGCAGTTGTGTCAAGACAAAAAGGCGGAATTTTTTGACCACCTGATCATGATGGATGAATGTTGAGTCTTTCATTATGACCCTGAAACAAAGGAAATGAGCAAGCAGTGGAAACATGCAGACTCTCCACTACAAAAGAAGGCCAGATCCCAGCTGTCATCAGGAAAGGTGATGTTGAGCATGTTCTGGGATTGGAGGAGTGTCATCATGACTGACTATGCGCAAAAAGGGCGTCACCATCACTGGCGAGTTACTGGAATCTTCTGAGAAAATTACTAGCTGCCAGTTTGGGATATGAAATTCCCCCCCATCCACCATATTCACCAGACCTGGCACCAAGCGTCTTCTTCCTCTTACCGCAGCTAACGGAGCCACTTCGTGGCAAGTGATTCCAAGATGATGATGACATCATTTCTGCAGTGGAGGACTTCCTAAACAGTTAAAATGAGACCTTCTATGATCAAAGTATCCAGCGGCTAATGCATCGTTGGGGAAAGTGTGTGGCCTTGCAGGGCATATGTAGTGAAGGATTAACTCACAATTTCTGTCATGTGTGTCCCTGTTTCGTCTGGGTGATAATTTAAATTTTATGACTTCCCCCATGTATACTAATTCAAATGAATGTTGAATGTATTAACTAATTTGAAAATCACATATGTGTAATACTTATTATATTGTAACATATGAATTTGTATAAAGTGCTGTTCAGTACTTTGAAAATGTTAGTTAATGTATACTGCCTGATGATGGCTTTATAGGCCGTAACATGTAGCACATTGTCATAATATTAAGACCAATAAACTCATTATACACAGTAAAAGGTGAATGAGATTCTGATAGTTGTTGTGTTGAGGCAGAAAACAAAATGAAGTGTTGTTATAATCTGTTGAATGTTACTTGTGATATACCACTTCCATTTCCTTTTAAGCAGTTCTAATGTAGATGAAATTAACTGAACAGTGATTCAGAGAAATTCTATAGCAGCAGAAATCCTTATGGAGTTACAGAACTGTTCAGTTATTTACTGGTACACTTACTAGAACTAAGAATTTAAATTAGTAGGACTCTTGTGAGCTAATTCCAATGTACAACACAGAATATAATGTGATAAACAAGTTTCAAGCTTATGAAAGATTCTGCATTCTCTTGCAACAAGAGTGCCAAGAATTGTACTGTATAGAGCTGAAGAAACATTTCGTGCCGTGAGAAATGATGTTTCATGCTTGTGTGGACAGAAGAATTTCATTTTCATGTGTCAGTTGTCTTGACCAGAGAAACTACATGTTTTGTGACACACTTCTGTTTGTTTGCATAATCCATCCATGGAATTTCTTACACTTGGATGTAGGCATTTTAACACTTTCGTATATCGTGTAGGAGAGTGATGTGGATAAGTCACGTAGGCCGCTTGCAGGAGTGAGAAATGCATACAAAGTTTTGGATGGAAAACCTGAGAGAAGCAGACCACTTGGGAGACCTAAGTGTGGATGGAGAGATACTATTAAGATGGATTTTAAAGAAATAATTTGGGAGTGTTTGTACTGGGTCTGTTTGCCTTAGGATACAGAGCCATAATGAGCATGTGTGACCACAGTAATGAACCCTTAGGTACTATGACTAACTCCATGGAGCTGAGTGAGTCCTTGAGAAGCCATCAGTTGCTTGGCCACTGAAGAATTTCCCAAAATTGTACAGAACCTGAAAGTTTATTAACATGTTCCCAAGAACCCGTTACAGGTCCCTATGCTGAGCCATATCAAACCAGTCCACACCACCCCATCCTATGTCACTTCACGGACCAACAATTTGAATATTTAAATCACCCTGGGGACTGGCATTTTTAAACCTACTGCCCTAACTTGTGCACTGTTCACTTTAAAAATTAATATAAAATCTAATTAATTTTATGAACTAAAATTTTTGGAGAACACTTACCAGTGCTCCTAGAAGTGCTGAGAGTGTGATATTTCGGGAAACATTCCCCTTTGTAAAGTGACTTTACACAGAACTTGCACATATAGACAGTCCTACTAATTTTGTTGTGTACTGCACAAACATGGCATCGCCTAGAATGCTGCTTCCCCTTGGCATGTTCACTCTTCACAATTTTCACAAGGGTATGTTTCCACATATCACCCAAGAGTCGCCCAGGGGGTCCACATGAAGCCTGCATGCGGTGGGAGTTAACCTTCCAGTGCCAGGCGACGTACATAGCACGTTGGCATTTAAATGCCACATCTCGCCGGGCAACGCTGTCGTGCGTCTTGTGCTGCTTTTCATGTAAATTAATACTTTTGCTATAAAATGAAAGAGGAAATTTCTGTCTATCATTTCGTACATTCGTTATCCCACTTTGAACTTCCCGGGGTATTTTTTTTTTACATTAGAAGTCTCTGAAGAAGTTCCGTAGCTTGCCGTCTAGGTTGCAGTATTGCCATACAAATCTGTCTCCATCTCTTGGAGAGTTAGGAACTAAATATGCTAGGTTTATAGTCTGAGACCTCCTTGCTTGTTGGTTGAAGGAAAGTCTGTGATCTCTCTGCTTGTTGGTCGATAAAAAAATCGATTTCCATTCACCAGCGACGAGTGCTGCTTCTTGAATGGAATGAGAAACCACGTGTAGAAAACCTAACACGAAAGATACGTGACGCTGACCTCTGTTATGACAGCAGTTAGATATGATAAACAAATGCCTTGTTTGCATTCCTTGAGGTTCTGTTTGTTCCACATAGCTAATGCAGTTTGAATGTAGCAACCATGGCTGGGACAAGCAAGAGACGTTCAGCTGTGTTGAGTGACAAGGACTTACAGTGTTTGCTTGAAAGTGATTCCGAACAAAGTCTGTCAGATTTGGATTTTGACACTGAAAGCAAGTTAGATGATCGTGCCTTGATTGAAACTGTTGGAAATGAGGGCAGCATTGAGTGTTTCCGCAACTACTACACATAGCTGAATTTTTAAGGTAATTAATAATTTTTATATGCTTACTGGCCCAAAAATAATTTGAAAGTAGTGTGGGTCAGTACTTTAATTCTATATACTTCCCTTGACGTTGTGTGAAAATCTGAAAAACAGAACTCCAGTTTTTCCCCGTTTATTAAGCTTTAAGTTAAGTGCTGCATTCTCCGATTAAATTATTTAAATAGCCCCCGGCATTGGAGTGCAAAAACGATTTAAATGCCCCCGTGACTGAAGGGTTAATGGACCTGGTCACACTAAGTCTGTGTCTGCCACCGATTCTGCCGCCACCGTGTGGTCTGTAGCCCAGGCTTTTGCCACATTCAGCAGAAATGCTGAATTTTGAATGAGGGTTTAGATTTTTGAAAACCAAAAATGAAGTGAAAATGGCACAATTTATAAGCCACAAGGCAACGTTCTTTGTCCACTTTACTGTTTTCCGAGAAAAAGAATAATAGGCCAAGTACTGATCCCCTCTGTCAACATATAATACTCGGAAATACAAACAGGCTTCTTTGCCTGTCCATTTCTCCTTTGAACATAAACCATGCTCGAATTGTAAATTATGGAAATCATATTCACGATATGAATATCCCTCCAGGACTGAAGAAGAATATCCCCCTCCCTCCTGAATGTGGTTTCACCACGTTTCTGGGATTTACAGTCCTCTTTCAGATCTGGAGGAAGGCCTCTGTTCACCCTAATTGTTCCACCAACACGTAACTTTCTCAAAAATAGGTGTTCTGCAGTTGCCACACTGTTATAATAATTGTCTTGATAGACATGGTAATTTTAATCAAGATAGGGTTACAAAACGGAAAGAATAGTTTCTTGTAATTTCTTTCCTTCACCAGTATAAATTTCTAAATTTCCAATATAGCCTGAAGTGCTTTCAGTAACTACATGAACAAGTAGGCCATACTTTGTAAGTTTCCCAGGATTATATGTTCGCATACGAAGCCTTCCCCTCCAAGGAATCGCAAATTTGCCCAAAGACAGTTGTTAGTTTGGCTTATAAACTGTCTGAAATTTCTGAACAAAAAAGTTCAGTAAGGGCTGAATTTTGAAAAGCCTGCTTGTTGATTGTGGTTGCAGTACATTATCATTGAAATGCAAACACCAAATTTGCTCAGATGTCTTACGGCTCATTAGTCTGCCGAAAATTGGAATTGGAAAATTGCAAAATTGGATCTGTTGACCAATACTCTTTCAGATTATCCCTCCTTGTATGGCCGAATAGAAAGATTATTGCAAAAAATTTTCTTTCTTCTGCTGAAGTGACCTCCATCCACTTCACCGCCTTATAACTTCTATCATACTGTTCACGGAGTTGGAGATAGTATCTGTTAGTTTCATGACGTAGCATGTCAAAGGAACTATCTCCAAAAAACAGTTCCGCTACTTCAGACACTTGCGTTGGGTCCGATGTAATTTGTTCACCCCTGGATTTCCAGTAAACTATCCAAAATTAGGCATTTTGTTTACTTTCCCCATGTGGCTGTCCCCGCAATGTTGCTATCCACACTTTCATCAGAGCTACTGTCACTTTCACTTTCACTGTCTGTGGCCACAATTTTCTGTTCGCCCCTGCCACACTCACTATCAGATTGTGAGTCACTGTCTCTAGCAGACTCACAAGGGATGTCAGATAGCTCATTGGAGAACAAGTCAGATATTTCTTGTTCTCCGAGAAAAAGCTTGGACCTCAACCTCTTCCGGCCTAATTCCATTTTGCACTAGTAACTTCCTGCCTGGTGCATGCAGCTGCAAGATGAACAAAGGCATTTTCTTTTGGAGTGGGAAAGGAAACCAGTTGGGTCACAAACAGCAGGGTCATGTTACTGACTACGAAGCAAAAATTCAAGAGGTCTATCATGCACCAGTCATGCGTCTGCCTGGCGCCAGTGCTAGGTATAGTGTGTTTCAACACAACATGTCCTAAAATTATAATAATATGCCACTGGTCCGCCACGTTTAAAAGCGCTGGGCATAAAAATTTGCCACCTGTCCGCAAAGTGTTAAGATCCATTTAAATATTATCTTCCCACCTATGCCTAGAGCTTTCTGGCTTTCTCAACAAGTCCTATATGCGTTCATTTTCTCCCCATTCCTGCCATATGAGCTGCCCATCTGATCTTTTTTGTCTTGTTCATTTTAATTGTGCTTGTCAAAGGCTGCAAGTTATGAAGCTCCTCATTATACACTTTTCAGGTAGCATAGAAAGCACCACTGCAGTGACGATTATTTTCACAGGAAGGTACTTGGCTGTGAACTGAATACTTTCTGATGATTTTGATAGCTGTAGAGAAGAACATCTGTACAAAACAGTTCTTATGAGTTAGATGTGATGAGAAACAGCCATAGCAAGAAGAGCATATGCTATTTAATGTGTGGTGTTGTACATCCATTTCTCAGAAAGATGTGATAATTTTTGCAGAGCTATACAAATTCAGAAAACGTTTTAGAGGGTCCATATGGTGAGACATACCCAGCATCTCATGGTGCAGATCAGGCCGTGAATGTAAAAGCTGAGGCAGTCTCAGATGCAGAAGAGGCAGCGAATCCTGTCCCAATAACATTTCCAGAAATAAAGGCTGAACCTGAGGTGAGCTGTATGTGCACTGTTAGGCAGATAACACAGATGTGCAGAAGTGCCACTTGTCTTTCTGATCAATATCTCTATCTTTGCATGAGAAACAACTCCGCTGTGCNACATGTGATGTACCACTCCCATTTTCTTTAACTTTTAACGCCCAGACTTTTAAATTGCCGTCAGCTCCATACAGCCGGAATTTAAATGGCCCTAAGTCTTTAACATTGCAGACTTTCAGAAAAAAATGCATATTTTCTGTTCTATGCAACATCGGAAGATGAACTAAAAAGTATCTGAAAGACAATAAAACTTTCTACATATACAGAAAAGAGGCAGGTTTTACAAATGAAAATTAACTGTGATTATTTTATCATGAATTGCAAAATATAATCTTTATTATATACTTTATGAAATTCTAAAGACTTACCCATTGTTTTCTTCAACCTTGAATCGTGTTGGTGATGTAAATATGACGACAATACAATAATATTTGGTTCTGACTGTACACGGTTTGGACTGTGTCACTTCACAGTTTACACTCTGACGTGCGCGCCCCACTCTCGAAGCAGTCCACGAGACACAGCGCACGCAACATCATGCATTACAATAGAAAAGGCTGCTCCTGTTTTTCTTCTCTATAGAACAAACGTGACGTTTTTGTTTCCCATTAGCTGGCCAGTGTTTTGAATGTTTCACCTCCAGTCGACTCAGTTGGGCCCCAGATGAACTTGGCCTCCCCAGAGAAACGCCACTGACCGTGATATTCGCCTCATGTGATTGAAGAATCAAATCACGCACCAAAATTTCGTGGAATTTTTTGTGCATCATTTTTCCATCACATGACTTGTGTAACAGATATGCATTGAGAATAGTCATATCTAGAAGGTGGAATAACAATTTCTTTGTCCACTTCCATGTCCTCCGAGCAATGTCATAGCTGTTCACCATTCTATCAGATTTGTCCACAAAGCCCATGTGTGCATTGTAGTCTTCAATTACATGAGGTTTGATAGGATTGCCAGATTCATCTCGGAAGTTGCCATCCAGTGTAGGAAGGTGCATCGAGTTCTTCCAACTCTTCATCAGATTCATCTTCCATCAATATTTCCTCAAGTTCTTCAGCATCGAGGAATTTTGAGTATCTGGCTCGTTTTTGAGGTTCTATCTTGGGGGAGGGGGCTTCCAGCTAAATCGTATACTTTATGATGATTGAAAAAGCGAGACTGTTAGGAACACTCACAAAATTGTGATACAAAGTAATTGCAATAGCATTAAAAAATTATCAGTCCGCCACTGATACCGAAAATCACAGTGATGAAGATGTCCTCACACACAAAGTAACAATGGCTCAGTGGGTTTATACCCCTTCTGAGATACACAATAAAAATTATATACAAAGAAATAAAGGAGTCTGACACTGACTTCTTACTAATAACGAAATATTAGAAAATCCGCCACTGACGTCCTAACTGACAATTCAACACTGCAAACCAATCCCTGAATTCGTCACACTTCCTTGAAAGCTCTGGTAGCACCGATATGTAAGCACGCCACGAATATTTCCTCCATTAAGTTCCCAAAACAAAGCTGAACTCTATGGCTCACCAGGTCATAAACAGTCATATCTAAACGTAAATAGTTTCGAAACCAGTACCTTGATAAACGATTTCATTGTTCAGAGCTAACAAATAAACGTCTGTCATGAAAGTTCATGAGTTTGTTTGGGTTTCAAACCGAAGGTCAAACTGCCAGCACTCACAAAGGAAGCATGTGGCTTGCCTCCAAAAATTATAACATTCGGCCACCTCTGCTTGCTACTTGCTGCCAATAATTATAACATTCAGCTGACAAATCTAGTATAGATGAAATTAAATATTGTGTAAACTGAAGAATGTTTGAGATAAATTCCATAGCAGGAAGAATCTTACACATTTTCCTTGTCTATCCAAGCCACTGAACAATGCTCTGGTACTACATCGTATGGATCCCAGGATCTATAAATGCTGAATATTATCATTTATTTTATTCTACATCCGATGCAATCTCTATCTGTGTAATAACATAGAGTTGTCATTATGTTGAGGATTTGTTACAGGATAATTAATGATTTCCTAAGTGTTTGTGACAATGTTTGGCAGATGTATTGACTGCTGCCCTTTGTTTGAATTGTTTGAAATAAATTTATTATACCTAAGATGCCTCAGTAACTGCCATAAGGTGACTGGTTGTCATGACAAATTTTTTGTTATTTCCTAGTGTACAGAAAGGACAGTGACTAAACATTAGATATAGAGAACATGTAAGACACACAACACACCATTTTTGTGGCCTAGATTTCTTTGTCGTTGGAGGAATCTTGCTTATAAAATGTCGGTCTGTTAGACGGGGCACTGTATTGTCTGGTGAATGTTGACCTTGCACTTGATGTTCCACAGCACTCGCATATTTCACAAAAAGTCAACTGAATTCTGAATGACAGCTGATCTGTAATTTTGCCTGTGTTATCTCTATATATTATCACTACATTCAGTATTGAGGTGTTCAAGAGCCTGCAAAATAACTCCATGTACCATTTATTCATATGCTTCCTCTCAGTCAAATAAGAGTGAAGCAGCTGGTCCTTCAAATCAACCCCTATCATTGACTTGTTGTGTAATCCAATACTGAAACTGGCTTGGCCACTTTCTTGCCTCTAATTGTAACAGTCCTGGTGTCATGACTGTGATAAGTGGAGATCATAGTCAATGATTTTTTTGTCACACCACTTTGTGACAGAAACAGGTCCAGAATGTTGTGTCATGATTTTGCTTTTTTTTTAGTTTAGTGCTTTTCACTTTTGGTGGCACATTATTATTTCAGTTCAGAGTCCTAACACAGTTGATCTTGTGCGTGATTTTCGGTAGCCTTGCTAGAGATGGGGAATTAGAAATTATGCATCCACATAGTCTGGCCTTGTTTCAGGAGAGGTTCTACCAGTTTGAGGACAATGGCTGAAGTTTTATGTGTGTCTGCCGTGGTCAAGGGGGAGTCAAGTGCTGTATCCTTGCCTGTATATGCAAGGAAGGACCATAAATACCCTGTGGTGGAGCACACAACTCATAAGTCTTAATTCCAAATTTGGATGCCTTGAGAGGGGGGTACTGTTTGAAAAACAGATGGCCTTTCCAAAGTGTCAATGATTCATCAACTGAAATGTCCTTCGTTTGGGAGATACGGTTCCTGAAATTTGTTATTAACCCTTTCGCAGGGTTGTCGTGACCCAAGATGGTGGCGGGTCGACTGAATTATGTTGGCCGAGCGGTAGCGTAATAATTCAGAGATGGTGATGGTCAGTTGGCTGTTGGAG